CTGATGGGATTAGTGGCATTAGAGTGACCTCTGTCTCTCTTCCCATCCACAGACACTGAGGTAAGGCTGTGTGAGGTGGAGCTAGAAATCCACCAACTCAAGGATAGAGCCCTCACCAGGAACTAAATTGGCCAGCATTTTGATCTTGGACTTGTCAGCCTCTAGAACTGTGAGAAAACAAATTTCTGTTGTTTAAGCCACCCAATCTATGTTATTTTGTTATGGCAGCCCAAGCAGACTAAGACAACTACTTTCTTGGAAGCTTTTTTAGGAAAAATGTTCAAAGACTTTGTCTTTTAGAATTATTCTGAAAAGGAAAACTTGTTCTGGTGTGTTTATAATGCAGTCAAAATGTACATTAATACAATGCTTTGTAAGTACCTGCTTTTAAATTACAATTAGTTTAGATTTCACTGAGACCATTACAGTCTCTCACGTAAAGACCCCCTTGGGAAAAGTAGGCATCAATCTGTAGCTCAAGCAGAAAGTTCGTGGCATTGGAATCCTTGGACCACTAGCTCGATGTAAAGATTCACAAGTTCTATCTCACTTTTCAAACTTAAGTACTGAAATAATTTTAAAATCTGAAAGAAATTTTGTTTGTGTTGATGGAAAAAAAACGAGATACCTAGAAATTCATATTCTTGACTACTGAAGTGAAAATTCAACTTAATTTTTTTTGTTTGCTATAAGAAAGGGTTAGAGTCAGAATGACATTGCCAATCTGAAGGCAATGTTCAGTTGCAAAAAATCAAAATACTTGGCTGATTGCCTAGGACCTTGCTTAAAAACAATAGACAAGTAGCATCAATGGAATTTGTCCTACTCAGTTCTCTAGAACGTGTGTGTCTTTCTGATATCTAGAATATTCACTTAGCTTATAATCTTCTCTTTACACAAAAACCAAATTGACAACTCTAGTGACATATTACCACACATCATAAACATTATCTATAATCTACAAGTGACACCAAAATAATACGTTAGACAAGATATTTTTGTCAAAAAATTTAACTTTTTTTTTAAGTTTTAGAAATGAGAGGGGGCTGACAATATTGTTTTCAGTGAATGAATGTGAGGTACATGTAAGACACATTTCTACCTGTATGATGATGTCATTTCCTTACTATCCCTAACTTTCATGCTTGTATAATATATTAAGTTAATGCCAGGGCAAACACCCCTGATAGGATAGTTGCTAGAACAAATATTTAGATATAACATACATTTGATTCAATAATTCTCATCCTTTAGTTATAAAGAAGTTAGAATTAAAGAAATACCTTTGCTCGACCATAGCCCTTGCTTATGGAGACTATAATTTTCACACTGCGGCC